GCTGTTTTTACGACGATAAAAATGAGGAAAAACAACCGCTATAAAGCGATCGACCGACATGGCGGTTACCAAGAGAATAGAACTGTTGATTGCTGCGTACCCGATTATTCTTAAAATGTCTCCTTCTTGAGGGAGGCTATGGTCGCCAAACGAGCACAGATATCTGATTGTTGTTTCTCCAATGCATACTACGGTGCCGATGAAGAAATCTACCCCATAAATAAACGCCAAAAACACGGAGAAAGCTTTTCGAAAGCAACGAAGAGGGTTTCGGTAAAGAACATACAAGGCGATGCCATTTGGAACTATAATAAGCAATGAAAGAAACATAAAGGATATACCAGTACCGAGACAAATTTCCTTCTCCAAATGGCTTTCCATATTGAAGCTTAATCACAGGGAACAGCTTCTTATATGGTCTTTTGTAAACAAACCCTTGTTCACCAATGAATTCTTCGTTTAATCTGTTCTGTTCTGTTCACCTGTAAGTTGTATGTGTCACGTTACACATCTATGCACTTGGCTTCCGTCTTGTTTTTAACCAACAAGAAAGCAAGCAGCTTCCTTTAGGGCAAATAAATTGGTATTTTGACAAATGATCACAATACGGGCTGTCGTTTTCCGAACTTATGCGGGATTATATTCAACACACGAACCAATTAATTTTATAGCCTGTAATGCAATGAGTGGCTGCAACAGACAATTATTTCCTCTTTGTAGCTGTTACGTCACTCTTCCGAATTAAGGGAAGAAAAGACAATTTGCAGGAGATGACAGACCTTGAATGCTTCAACAAATATTTAGATTAATTATTTTCATTTATCTTTAGACGAAGAAGACACCTGTCTCTGTGCATAAGAGGTCGGACTAAAATGTGTGATGAGAAGGTGAAGGCGATCGTAGGCTGCGAATAGCATGCAAATTTAAACCTAAGGTCTCTGCGTAGCTCTGCATAGGCTCTATCTATATATGAATAAGCTCTCCAGAGGTGAGCGAAATATCATGGACCTAGCCTCCCACGCAGACGTCCTTAGGGGTTCGTCATGCGTTCCTGCCCGACGAACGTCTGCTGAACTGAATTCCCATTCTTCGCAAATATCGGCTGGAGATCACATGCAGATTATCAGAGATCCAATCGGCGATGTTGAAGTCAAAGTGCTGACAAGCCAAACACATACTTACAAGCTCTGTAGAGTGTGATACGTGACCAAAGATTTTTGCTCCTGACTAGAATATAGGAGATAACCGTTGGCTTTTTGTATATTTCTCTCTATAAAGGCTGGATTAGATGTCATTTGCTCATAAAGTCGTTCTTTGGGTGATGCAACGGTGGGGTTACCTTGTAAGACTGAACAAAATGCAGGATTTTTAGTCCGTTATTGTTTTGTAGTAAAGACGACTTCCCTTCAGCAAATTTAACCACTGCTCTAAGCCAATCAAATTGGATAAATTTCTCACGTAGTAGTATAATTGTTTGTAAGCAGAAAAATTATTGGATATAGCGAGTGCAAAAGTTGCAATTAATTCTGTTTTCAATTTACCTTACTATAGGAAATTAACGCTCCATGAAATTAAAGCAAATCGTTAAAATTTGCGTTAATTTTGTTGAGCGTTAATTTCCGCGGCGTTAATTAAGTGCAGCGTTAATTTCCGCGCTCTTAATTACCAGTATTCTAACCCCAATTTTGGAACCTGTCCAGACATTCTTGACACCTAAAAAACATTAACTACAAGCTTTCTGTCTTTCCATTTACCCTTTATGTTTCATCTTTCACAAAAGCTAAGGCGAACGTTTACAATATTTCGAGTTCATCTTCATCGTTGTCGCTGTCAGAAGTGGTGTCAATATCTTCTCCTTTGATTTCGTCCAAGATAATCGCGTTAATTTCCTTTTTATGAAATTCTACCT